AAAAATGCCCAGAACAAAAAATGCCCAGAACAAAAAATGCCCAGAACCTAAGGGCAGCAGCTCATTCATTTGAGGGTGATGCTCTGGGAGCTGGAAGTTAAGCCCAGCTTTTGATGCTGTGACAAAAGCCAAGGCTGAATGGGAGCTGGAGCCCAGCCCAGCCCAGCAGAGCTCAGCCCCAGCCCTCCCTGGGGAAGGGATTCCCTCCCTCTGAACACATGGCACCCAGAACAAGGGGGGATTTTCTTGCTTCAACTCCTGAGGTTATGAACTCATAGCACAGGAAATCTCTGCCTCAGCTTTGTCTCAAAATAACTATCTCTCTTTAAATCTCTCCAATGGAGAATTAGAAGATTCTGCTGGCAAGCAGAGCAAGCAGCATCTCAAAGATATTACAGAGAGCCTCCAGCAGCTTACCTGGGAATCATTACTTAATTTGTGTCGAGACCAAGCAAAAGCATTTATTTACTCACACAATCACACAGCAAATGTGCAATTTTCAAGCAAATATTTCACTTTCAACTTGAAGCTTTCAGTTACATACAAAGATTTCCATTTAGCACCTCAGCTTCCTAACGTGTCAAACCCAGAAATGATGCTTCTAATTAATGCATTCTGATCAATTGCAGCTGAAAATCTAATTCTTGCATTTCACTATCCTCAAATTACAAGAAATGTCAGCAGTATTTAGATATAATACTGTACAGCTATTAAAGACAGCAACCAAAAGGCAATTGAATCAGCAAGAGCCAGAGCTGGTGATGTGACTTATGATTTAAGCAGCTCAAATTATTGCTTCCTATTTAAATTTGAAAGTTAATCTTGCAGAAGTGCTGTGCCATGGAAGGGCTGTGCTACCTGCAGCAGTGCTGGAGAGAGGGCACGGAGCGCTGGGAGCTCCCACCAGCCCTTCCCATGCAGGATTCTGCTGAGCGTGCTGACAGCAGAGAGCATCACCCCTTTTACTGCAGAGGAAGGATGCTCAGAGCACTGATCCAGGGGAGCTGCTCTGCCTGGCTGGGCTGGCCTGGGGACAAGGGCAAGGCTCTGGGCAGCACGGGGAGCTGGGCACATCCCTGGC